CACTTGTCACCTCTTCTTGCCTTAACCTCTACAACAGCCTCCCGTTTTTCCTGCATCCGCTCTTGTATTCCTCCAAACCCATCGCCACGCTGCAGCCAGAGAGGTATTTTCAAAAGACCTACCTGATTGTTACCTTTTTGTTCAGAATCCTGGCTTCCTGGTGCCCTTACACATGTAAAATTCCTTAGCATGTCCTATGAGGCATCATCTGGCCCCAGTTTGCCTCTCCAGCTTCATCTGACATCACACTCCCCCCTCCCTCCCTTGCCCTCACCGCTCTCCAGACACAATGGAATTCTTTAGGCTTCACAAATGAGCATGTGAATCCCCAACACTCAAATCCTGAAGGTGAGTAACCAGGCCCTTCTGTTTCCTGTCCTTGGTCTCGTGGCCACCTCGCTCTATTTTGTCAGTAACCTGGAGGGCCGGTAAAGACCACTGCAACACCCCTCCCTACTCCACATCCCAGCGGCCTTGACCCATGGTTATATGTTTCCTAGCACCTCCATGCTTCTCCTGGCAACACATCACATCTGCGGGCCTTCATTCAAAGTCAGCCCATCCTGCTGGAGGGGAGCTCCAGGAGGCAGGAACAGTGTCCTCCCCAACAACGTGTCTCTAGAGCCACATCCAGGGACTGGTATATGGCATGCACGCAAACAGTTTCTGAATGAACAAACACTGACTTTTTAAGAAACTTGGCTGAGGTATTTTTGCCTTTACTCCTTAGGAATTAATTGCTGGCCCATCCATACTTTTTTCATTCCAGAGACTATTTTTAACACAGGATACCATGCAGACCTTAAAACAACCTATGCCTCATTTTAAAAACGTACATTTTGGTAAGTTCTTCAAAAAGAACATAACACAAAGTGTGTGTGTGTATAAAATTATATGTATTGTAATAATGCTGGGTCAGATGATGACATCTCCCATACACAAGGTCTAGAAGAACTATAATTATCAAACGCAAGGCCCACCCTCAAAGATACTGCCAATTTCACAGGACTGAGCTGCTGCATCTGCTCACTGTGGGCTTTCATACGCGATCTTCTAGTCACTGTGACTAAGCACTGTAAAGCAGGGGAGACAAACCACAGTCCATGGGTCAGATCCGGCCCCCCTACTTTTGTAAATAAAGTTTTCTTGGGACACAGCCAATGGTTTATGTATTGTCTATAGCTGCTTTGCACTCCAATGGCGGAGTTGAATAGATGCAGCTGAGACTGTATGGCTGGCAAAACTTAAAATATTTACTATCTTGCTCCAGAAAAAGTCTGCTGACCCCTGAGGGATACTACCACGAATAGGGTGCCCCTATTAGTGTGACAGAAGATGGAGCAGAGCTGCTCCAGGTATCTGGTTCAGGAACACAGGCTGGGACACACTCTTGTGCAGAAGGCACATCCCATACCACAGCCTCCAACCCCTCACTCATTGCCTGCCTCAGAGTCCTCCATCTTCTTGAGCACATAAAAGACAACGGTTCAAATTTAGAAATACAGAAAATCAGGACACAAAATAGCATGTGAAAGAACAGAGATTATCATGTCAATCTAGGCGAAGCTGCAATCTCCAGAAGGCCATGAACAGGATGGAAATGATACCTTGGAATAAGCCGAAATAGCGGTGAGCAAACAGCTCAGGAAAGGACAGCAATAAGAACGCTTCACAGAGCAGAAAAAACATGGGGCTGTTTTTCCCTTCAGTTTTCTGATTCCCATACTTAGCTCTGTAATGCACATAAGGTCTAACAAATCTAATAAATATTTTATCATAAAATGGATGGTTTCTTCTGCTCAAGATTTTGGCTTTTTCTTGTAAACTGACAAAACTAGGCTTCTAGCTTCAAGCAGTGCTACCATCAGGACCTCGGTCACCGATTCCCAAGGAGCTATAGGACGGAGGAGGGAGGGCGCCCAGGGAGCTCCGGGACAGAGGAGGGAGGGCGCCCAGCAGGCACCATACTTACTTCCAGACAAAAACGACAGCACCGAGGTTTGGCCATATGACCTTCAGCAAAAGTACTGAATCAAAGGCCAAACAAGCTTCTCAAACAGGGTTTGATCTTTCCCAATCCCGTTCCTCCTGTCCCAGCATTCCCTATTTCTGTCCCTGCACCACCATCATCCTGCTCTCCCAGTCTCAAAACTCAAAGTTATCCCTGAGTCCCCAGTCTTCCCTTCTCTTTCATATCTAGTCATTTGCTAATTTTCTCCAACCAGTTCCCCACTCTTCATGCCCTGGTATTATTTCTTGCCTAGACTCTTGCAGGGAGCTCCTAACTGGTCTCCCTGCTTCCAGTATCTCCCCACTATAGAGGGTCACATTTGCTCCTACCCAGATGACATCTCTGAATAACAGTTGTCATTTACTGACTACACTGTAGCCTGGCCTCACTGCACCCCACCCTTTGTTCCCCTGATCCCCTTCACACACCCTTTGCTTGTAAAACTGAACTGTTTACTATTTCTCCTGTGCTAATCCTTCAGCCTGTCCTGTTACTCACCCTTCTCTCTCATACACTTTCCATCCTTTAAAGGCTTAAATGCTACTTGCTCCACGAAGCCTCCCTGCTCTCCCTCCAGCTGACAGAACCCCTACAGCAATCTACCCATACCTCTCTTATGGTACACCTCACTTTCTCACTTGGGTTATAATTACATACGTATCTGTCACACCCTTCCTAGAATGCCGCTGAGAGAAAATCTGCATGCAATTAATTTTTCTAACCCTATGGGACCTTTTAATAAGCTCAATGAAATTGATGTATAATTTCTATATCATGAACCCAGTGAACACAGCCACCCTCTTGTCAGCATCAATTCATATCTCTTCTTCTTCCTTCTTTGCTGCTGGAATCCTTTCCAGAATCTGTAGTAAGTTGCCCTGGACTGGCATACTCCAAAGCCTCCAATGGCAGCTGACCCGTTTACAGACAGACGGCCAGGCGACGTGCAAATGGCTCTCAAACCAACATCTCCGGCCTCAACTCCTCCTTGAGTTTCAGACCTGCTATTTTCTAACCATGTGACCAATTCTAAAAGAGATCTGGCTTACTGAACTTTGTTAGCTCCAGCTAGCCTTCTAACATCGAGTCTCATTATGATATGACAAAGTCACCCTGGCTTGGCTACACAGCCACATTTGCTCCTAAAATTCTTTTTGCCTTTACACTTAACATTGGGTCAGTTTAAAAGGCATTATCTGAAGTTTTCCTTAGAGGAAGTCTGGCATCCTTGATTTAGGGCAGCTTTAACAATACAGCTAACTCTGGTCTTCTGTTTGTGTACTATGAACCCTGAGAGCCTTAGCTCTCTACTCCCATCAGAGTTTAGTTTCCTCGTCAACAATGTACCATAGTAAGTTCTACCTGGCAAGCCTGTGGCGAAGAACAGAAATAGGATGTAGCACAGTGCCCAGCTTACAAGCCTCAGCAAATGTCAGCCATCATTAATTGTCACCATCAGCCAAGACACGTGCATGCTCTTCTGGCATGCTGCCGAGCAGGATAAGAATACCTAAGACCTTCACTGCCCTTCCAATGAATGGCCTTTCCTGAGCTACATATCAACCCTCCCTCAGTCTATTCCTCCACAGACCACAAGGTCACACTGAAGAGGGATCAGCCCTGTGACCCACTGTGAAGCCTGCCTAAGGTACAGAGGCCAGTGTTAGCCACCTGCCCACCATCTACTGAGCAAGGTGTTTTGCTAAGTGCTTTACATAACCATTTCATTTAACGCTTACAACTCTGTAAGTTAATTATTTCCACTTGATATATGAGGAAACAGGTGCTTAGAAAAGGAACTTGTCCTAAACTACAAAGCTAGAAAGTAGCAGAACTAGGCTAGCTACAAGCCTGCATTCTTAATAGCTACACCTTCCTGCCTCGCACCACGGACTGGCTATGAAACTGGGCACGGTCTACCTGTATCTGACCACCCTCTCCACGTCATCAAGAGGCCTGCTGCTCACGGCTGCCAGTCTTTGCTGCCAATGCCTCCTCCCTTCTGTGCTTCCTCTCCCATGTCCACCAATCATTGCATTCTTTTTTTGCATTGTAAGGGACAGATGTATAAGCCAGTCTCAATGTGTATACCCCTTTTTTTTCTATTCAGTAAACCAATCACAAATTTTCCCTTTTCTGCTACACAATTTTTTATTCCCACTGGTTCAGTGCCATTTCAAATAATGGAGGTTTATCTCTACAGGCTGGCTGATCCATGCAGAAACAAGGGGTCATCACTGAATATTTTTTATGCCAACAGTGATTTTTTTAATGAGTTAACCCCAATCAGTTAATTTGCAGATGTAGATAAAAGGCCTCAACACTGCTTTGCTTGAGTAACTAGTTTGTTGCTTAGTCTATTAAATGAAGCTTTCTCATCAGAGCTTAGAAACTAAGCCAACTCTACCTCTCCAAAATCACCCCCCCTGACCTGTCCACTCCAGCCAAGCTGCTTCTGTCTGCTATGTCCCAGTAAACCTTGTCTGATAGACTCTGCCTTAACTTATACTGTTCCTAAAACTTATCATCGAGTTCACTATACTCATTCCCGTCTTTCTAATTAGTTGACATAGAACTAACCTGTATCTTCTCAAACTTTTTTTATAATAAAAGCTTATTACTAGTGTAAAAAAGAAATAAAAGCTTTAAAAACTTTTCAGCATCAAAAAACAAAAATAGGGCAAAACAATAAGAAAATATTCAAAGAGGAAGAAGTCCTTCAAAATTCAGAATTAAACACAAGCAAGTTTATTAGCAACAGAGTATTCATGGAAAAATCTTCATCTCTGGTTCTCTCAGGGTTTAATGTAAGTAAAATAATTTATACAGTAAATCAATTCTGCCAAAATGTACTGCACTAGCCTCTGTTAATCATTAGTTTGAATTCATCCACATCTCCAGTAACATATGTACTTAATTCAGACTCTCAAAGGAACAAACAAAATCAATCAACAAGATGGGCAATTAATGGTAAATAACAGTAACTTACCTACTTCAGTGAGCTGATGTCTTTCTAGTGTTAAATTCTTTGGATCCTTAATAAAATGAAAAGGTTGTATTTTTACTCCTTCAATTTGAGGGAATAATAGAGCAAAACCAGATTCTCCAATTTCGATTTCTTGAGGTCGATTGCTACGTGATCCCATTGGAGTCACTAGGGAAAAAATTAAACAGTTTCATGAAAAGATTCAATAAAAACTGAAGTTTCATTTGGTAACAGTGTAAATTACCCAGCACCCCTAGATAACTCCAGTTCGGGTCACTAAGATAATCAACAAGCTGACAGACCACTATCTGAGTGAAAAGTTCTTCAGCTTTAAAATGTTTACAGGTATGGAGTCATGATATCTGCAGTTCACTTTCAAATGGTTCCAAAAGAAATGCTTTTAGAAACAAAGACAGAAAAAGCAAATGTTGCGCAGTTTTTTAAATTGGTGAATCTAGATGAAGGGTATAAGAGAGTTAATTGTACTATTCTATTATTCTTTCAACTTTTCTATAAGTTTGAAGATTCTCTAAATGAAAGTTGAGGGAGCAGTAAATACATCTTCAGAGCAATTCCATTTTAAAAAATTTATCCTAAAAATATGTGACAATTATATAAAGTATATATATACACACACACACACACACACACAGAAGTACTTTTATCACAGAATTTTTAACAGGAAATAAAAGAAAAAATCTAAATGCCCAACACTGGTATTTAGATTAAAAGTTACATTTATACAATCAAACATAGTCATTAAGAATGACAGACCCATACTTACTGACATGGAAATACATTTGTAATATGCTGTAATATGTTATGAAGAGAATTGTGTTACCTCAAAATTCATATGTTGAAGTCCTAACCCCTAATGTGACTGTATTTGGAGATAAGGCCTTTAAAGAGGTAATTAAGATTAAATGAAGTCATAAGGGGGGCCCTAATCCAATAAGACTGGTGACTTTTTAAGAAGAGGAGGAGACACCAGGGACGCATGTGCATTCAGAGAAAAGGCCATGTGAGGACACAGTGAGATGGTGGCCGTCTGCAAGCCAAAGAGAGAGGCCTCAGGAGAAAGCAAACCTGCCAACACCTTGATCTTGGACTTCCAGCATCTAGAACTGTTAGAAAATAAATGCCTGTAGTTTAACCCACCTAGTCTTGGTATTTTTTTAAGGCAGCCCTAGCAAACTAATGCAAATATGGTAGGTTACAAATCTAGAGAAATTTATATTCTTGATATATATACACACATACATACATACATATATATATATACACAAACACACATATATATACATGGATATATACACACATATACATACATGAAAATATATATGTGTGTGTGTGTATATATATCCATGTATAAAGCTATACATTGCAAGTCTGGAAGGTTATACATCATAACATTAATAGAATGGTTTACTCTATGATGCTTAAAGGTGCTTAATTTTTTTCTTTTTTGCTTACCTGCATCTTGTAATTTTTCTTTTTCTTTTTTTCTAATTTTTATTTTTCTTATTAACAATAAATGATTATTAGTAGTATAAAGAAGAAATAAACTCTTTTAAAAAAAGTGTTAAGCCTTTTAGAACAAAACTGGAGACATCACAATCCCTGACTTCAAAATATACTACAAAGCTATAGTAATCAAAACAGCATGGTACTGGTACAAAAACAGACACATAGAGGCCAGCCCCGTGGCTTAATAGTTAAGTGCACGTGCTCCGATGCTGGCGGCCCGGGTTTGTTCCTGGGCGTGCACCAATGCACCGCTTCTCCGGCCATGCTGAGGCCGTGTCCCACATACAGCAACTAGAAGGATGTGCAGCTATGACATACAACTATCTACTGGGGCTTTGGGGG